GATCCGTGGCCAAGTTCGCCAGCCCTTGCCTTGGTGACAGGACGGTGTCGGAGCAGCGGGGAGTGCTTTGCACCCTGACGGAGGCTGGCAATGCCCTGCTCCAGCCCTGCCACAGTGCCAGCTCCCCTGCGCTGATCCCTGCCCTAGAACTTATCTCAGGAACACAGAGATGCGGTTTATGGCTAACGAATGCCTGGTGCTGGTGCCAGTAGCGGCTGGTCGTTAAAGGCCCAATCTGGCATGACGTGGTGCATGCCAAACTCCCATTAATGTCAGTCAACAGCCCAGACACCACCTGGTGGACATCAGCCGGGTTTAACCCTCTGCCCCTTCAGCTCCATAGCACAGGTTTCTAGAGCTTGTGCTAAAGGAGTAACTTTACTAGCTGGTGGCAATAGTAGGCTGTTACCCTCTCTGTGGCCACTACAGGGGGTAATGAAACACACTGTGCAAGCTCATTGTGCCAGGTGTTGAGGCCATTGTTATCTGCAAGCTGGGTTTTTAGCTAGTTTCAGAGAGGCCCATTTCCCACAGCCTGGCTCGTCCCAGCATGCACAGCAGGGGCGGTTGTAGCAGACCAGATCTGGGATCACATGCTGTTCTCCTGGCCCGGGGGTAACATGCCTGTCTGGAGGAGAGCTCTGCACAGAGGCTGGGAGGAGAGCCGAGGTTGAATCACTGAGTGTTTGCCAGGCGCAGTTTCTCCCTGCTCAGAAACCAAGGGGGAAGCGCCCGTTGTTAATCACTGGCAGGGGCTGGAAAGGACGGTTAGAGGCAGATGAGCTGTGACCCTTGCAGACGGTTCAGTCCTTCTGTGGCTGCCAAGTTGCAATACGAAATGAATTTGCGCGGCTGGATTACAGCGTGCCCTCGCCCTTCGCTGGCGGTCACAGGGGGGCTGGTGTCTCCATCCTGCCCAGCTGCTCTAGCCTGAGACGCTCAGAGCCCGTTGAGGCTGCAGGCTCCGCTGCGCTGGGAGAGCCGCTGACCTTTCCGTCCACGGGCCAAGGTGCTGCCTGTGCTTTGGGTGAAACCGTCGTAAATACGGAGAAAGAAAATCAACCCCCAGCCAGAGCATTTCACACACTGCACGTGGGTGGCAGCAAGTGGGCACTGTCCATGGTACCCAGCAGCAGCCACCCCCCCTCCACCCCATGCAGGGAGCAGGCCCCGGCTGCATTCAGGGAAAGGAGACATGGGGATAGCTTGGGGTGGGGGTGGGGTGTCCTTGTGGGGGAGGGGATTGAAGGGAACCATCCCTAGGTGACTCCCAGGGCAGCTCGGGAACTGATCAGCCCGCAAGAAATGAGAGAGTCAAACCTGCCAAGCCGCTTAATAACAGAGCTAGAGCTGCTGGTGTGTCGATTCAGCTGTCGCCCTCTGTCCGTCCCCCCCATACACAGCGCTCTGTCTGTCTGTCCAGCCATCCCAGTACCCCACCCTCTGTCCATCCACCCCCATACACAGCGCTCTGTCTGTCTGTCCAGCCATCCCCGTACCCCACCCTCTGTCTGTCCAGCCATCCCCGTACCCCACCCTCTGTCCGTCCACCCCATACACAGCGCTCTGTCTGTCTGTCCAGCCATCCCCGTACCCCACCCTCTGTCTGTCCAGCCATCCACGTACTCCA